CCAATGTTCAATTGCCAAATCCTCTTCAAAACAAAGTATGTTAAAAGTAGAGAGGAGAAAATAATACAAAGTGGAACAAGTACTTTGTGCAACAGTGTACAGGTACAGATGGAGCCGTACCCAAAGACTGTGAAACCCTTAGATATGGAAGGAGCACTTCCTTTTCCTGACCTTCACCTCAGAAGGTAATGGTGCATGGAACAGCTGGCAGAAAGCCACCTTTTCCCTTCAGGGAGGAGACTTCAACAGCAGCTGCCTGGTAAATAATGAAGTGTTAGCTTTGGATAACTACTTTTTGCAAATCTATTTAGTTGAGTCCAGCTGCTCTGCTGGGTACAAGCCTTGCAGGCAAACTCCAGATCTTCTGCTGTACTTCATGGATTTGGAGCCAGCTCCCAGTCACCAGATGAATGAGCAACAAATGCTGTTACAGGCTGCAAGAGCCTTACTCATAATTCTAAGACTGTGCATTTGATAAAAGTGCCCACACAGTCAAACTTTATATGGAGATCACTTTTTGTTTTTAAGGGAGAAAGTGCTTAATTAATTGAGAGATGTGGGAAGTTTTAAGTATTTAAAAGGGTAGAATTTAGGTGAAAAAATGGAGGACTGCATTCTTCTACAAGGTAGGGGTAGATATATCAGTGACACTTAGGTGATCCCTTCTGAAAAAGAATGACTGGAAGGTGATTGAGACAGACTTCAAATTCAGATTTCTAGATTCCTTCAACTCTGGCTGTCTTCAGACTAATTTGATAGAGGCATGAGAGGCCGTTCAGTTTGTGTATATCCCACTGTCTGGGGCAAATCAAACAGCACAGAGTACTGAAAAATCTGTTAGGAAAGTTTTTTCTGCTGGGGAAATGCCCTGAAGAGCCCCACAGAGTCCTTGTTCTCTGTGTGACAGTATCAGCCACATGGTGACTTACCACCTTTGATTAGAACTGTTGATTAACCAGGTTAAACCAGGTGCAATTGAAATACATGTATTTTGGGTAACTGTTACCAGTCATAACTTTCCCTTGTATTTTGTACTGAATAAGCCATGCAGTTACAGCTTTATATCTCTTTCATTGGTTCCATTATTTTGTTTTAGGAAATGCTTCTTGAAAACACTTACAGAATAAGCTACATAGGAAAGGAGGTGGTTTTAGGGTCTCTTGGCATGTTGGGCTACTTCTGCTTCAGAAAATTAGAAGAAACTGTACTTTGTTCTGGAGCAATACCCTTGGAAATTGCAGTTAGATTAACTGGAGATCTCCAATGTACAGGGCTGCAAATGCTGCACTGAATATCACATAATAGATCTTCTGTTTCTTTACTCACCTAACATTGGTCTTTCTCATTGTTTTTCACACTGCTTTTAATAATTTTTTTCTACTGTATTCCACTCTTGACATTTGTAATTCGGATTTTTTTTTTTGCTTTTCTCTTCATCTAAGATGCTAAATTTTTCTGTTTTTCTTACTATCTTTGGGTGCAGTACATTTGCTTGCAGGAATGCCTGTAAAAAAATTGCATTCTAAACCTTTGCGTTATTAAAAAAATGTGGCTCACCTAAAGATGCTTTGAATTGAAAGCATTTATATCTTTGACTTCCTTTAGGTGCCTGGTAGAGAATTCTGGGGATGTGGCCTTTGTGAAGCACTCGACAGTGTTTGAGAACACAGATGGTACTGAGTTTTACATGTCTCTATAAAAATTCAATTAATTTTTCTTGCTTTCATTGCTTGACAATGACCAGTTTCTTTTTTTTCAGGTAAAAACACTGCTAGTTGGGCCCAGAAGTTGAAGTCCAGTGATTTCCAGTTACTGTGTCCAAATGGTGCCCGTGCTGAAGTCACCCAGTTTGCTGATTGTCACCTGGCTCAGGTGCCAGCTCAGGCTGTTATGGTTCACCCAGATGTCAATGTTTTTGCTCTATATGGACTACTGGACAGAGCCCAGGTACTAATAATCCATTTACTTTTGGGGGGAGTTATATATGGTCTTACACAGTCCAAGGATAAAGACAACAGGACCACACTGCCATATCCTGGCTCGTGGCACTGGCAGCATGTGCACAGTGCACAGCCCTGTTGGGAGTGTGACAGAGAAGGTAAAATACAACCCATGTGACTCACCCAGTAAAACCACCCTGGTGCACAAGGGATTTCAACTTTTTGCCCAGCCACTGGTTATAGTAGTAATTTCCCTGGAGCTTAAGGTGTTTTTTCATGGCTGTCCCGCATTTCTGCGTTGTGCTAACGCTTTTCCATTCTGGAATTTTCCTTGGAATGCAGTAGAGCTTTGCTGGGTTTGTTTATGCTGCAGCCATGCACATGGTAAGCCATACAGGCAGAGTGTGCCTGGCTGCCACAGCGAGGTTCCTTCTTCTCCATCCTGAAGTTAATTAGTTCAAAATCAAGACTGAGCAATATCTCTGTGCTAGACTTCAGTCATGTCTGTAACTCCTGGGCAGCCAGACCCTATATTGCATAACAATATTGAGGCAAGAGAATTTTTTAAAAACTACAGCTCTTTTTCCAGATAGTAACTAAAAAAACAAAATCACAAATGCTGTTCTTGTAATTGCCAGTGGCAGAATTCTGTATCTGATCTACTGGAGCATCTAAAAGCAAACGCGTAAGAGAGATTCTGCAATTGTTTATGAATTTTTCATCTACAAAACGTTTCCTGTCATCTTTCATGTTGGATGACAGGAACACGGCACTTCATCTTGCAAAATGCTGAGAATTTTTCATTATTTTCAGGTCTACTTTGGAAATAGCAGCAATGGAAATGGATTCAAAATGTTTGATTCTTCAACTTTTCAGGGAAAAGACTTGATTTTTAAGGATTCTACTGTTGAGATTGTGCCAGTGAAAGAGAGGAGAACATACACAGAATGGCTGGGGAGTGAATATATTGAGTCCCTTGAAGGACTGCAAGCACCCCAGTGCTCTGGGGCAGGTAATAGGATAACACAATACTCACTCATGGCTACTGTCATTCCCCTGCTTGCTCTGTGTCAGATACAAGGCTTGGACTAGCACGGTCCAAGTGGGAACTTCCAGGCCACCTCTGCCCTGCCACCTTCTCTTCAGAAAAGCTGCTGTCTGGATAACATGCTGTGCTGCCATGGGAATGCCTCTTCCTGCCTCTTTGCAGAGCAAGTGCCAACAGCATCTGCTCATCAGGGAGTAGGGTAGAGCTGGAAGCTGCCCCTGCCTGTGGGGATGGGGTGGAATTTGGGGCAGAAACCAGCAATACAGTATCAACATGGTTTACAAGATCAGTCTAAAACTGGAGTATCTCTGCCATTGTTGCCGATATTGAACCACCCAGGATTCCCAAGAACTGTTAGATGATTCTGGGTTTCTGACCTGTAGAAGAATTTCTTGGAAGGCAATATCAAAACTCTTGTTTAGTGAATTCTCTAGTGGCCTCCTGGCTGGCTGTGCTCAGACTCCACATCCCTGCTTTACCTAAACATCCTGCTTTCTTTCTCCTGAGCTCTGCTGCCACAGAGATAAGTTCACAGAGAATGGAAGTCTTTGAATAAAGACCAGCCCATCTTCTGCCATGGACAAAGTCTTCTACCTTCCAGCAGAAGAAAGTAGGGGAAATTTCCAAAGTCACTGGATGAAAAAGAAGCCCAGAGAGACTGGAAGGGGGATTACCCTTTGACAGAGAAAAGAACAAAGCCAAACGTGAGCATCCACTGAGCTTATTGACTTTCCACACCAAGTGCTCTCATGGCTGGCCAGAGATGTCCTGTGATCTTTAGTTTGATGCAGCCTTCATCAAGAACCTCATGACTGTCCTCCTTCCACAGGGGGCAATCCTGAGTGCCTTGTGCATGAAATTTGTGTTTGCTGTAGGTGAAACAAAGTACTTCACTTCTGAGTAGCCATTTCTACTGGCTGTAGTATTCAGGTTTTATTTTTATCCATAGCTGCACTAATCACAGATGTTGCTGTGCTGCTGGCAGGCACTGCCCTCCTGACTGTAGAGACCACCTCATGATCCTGGGATGAGCAGACATGTAGTGTAATAAAAACCTGGTAAAGCCAGATAGCAATCACATAAATAAGTGAAAATAGCAAATAAACATGAAAAGTAATCACACTTTAACCAGCCTGGTAGCTAAACTGCTCTCTTCTGGGACATGAACATTTGCCTTTCACTGTTCCTTTGCTCCCAGTTCCTGGGGCTGGAGTGGGACACAGACTGATCTGTGCCCGGTGGGTGAGTGTGTCTGTGCAGGGAGCAGTGAGGCCGTGCCCAGCGCTCAAACCCATGACTACGGGCAAGCTGTGCCCAGCTGCGGCCCCGCTGTGTTTCTTCTCCTTGTGCTTTCAGTCGATTATGAAACAGCAGCTGAACAGGAGCCGCTGTGTGCCCAGGTGGCCACTGGCGTCCTGTCTGTCCTGGATCAGGAATAGTGTGGCCAGCAGTGATTGTCCCCTGCACTTGGCACTGCTGAGGCCACACCTTGAGTGCTGTGCCCAGTTCTGGGCCCCTCAGGTCAGGACGGACATTGCAGTGCTGGGATGATCCCAGAGAAGGGTCTGGAGCACAGTCCCATGAGGAGCATCTGGGGGAGTTCAGCCTGGAGGAGGCTCCAGGCTGACCTTATCCCACTCTACAACTCCCTGACAGGAGGGGGAAGCCTGGTGGGGGTCGGGCTCTGCTCCCAGGCCGTGACAGGACGAGAGAACATATGCATAGAACTCATGCTCTCAAACTGTGCCGGGGGAGTTCAGGATGGACAGCAGGAGGAATTCACAGAAAGGGTGATTAGACACTGGAATGGATTGCCCGGGAGGTGTTGGAGTCACCGTCCCTGGAGGTACTGAAGGGAAGGCTGGACGTGGCTCACACGGCGGTGCTGGGCTGTGGCCTGGACTCGCTGATCCCGGAGCCCTTTCCACCCTCATAGATCCCGGCATCCCGTCAAGTGCGGCCGGCGGGGGGCGCTGCGCATGCGCGTCGGGCTCCCGCTGCGGCGCCTCGTCCGTGCGCCGCGCGCCCCCTGGTGGCGCGGCGTGAGGGGCCGGGGCCGCCATGGTGGCGCGGGCGCTGTGGGCGCTGCTGGCGGCGCTGCGGGCGGGCTGGTGCCTCCTGCCGCAGAGCGGGTACCTGCACCCCGACGAGTTCTTCCAGGCACCCGAGGTCATGGCAGGTAAGGCGTGCGCCCGGGACGGGGTGGCCCCGCGCGGGGTCGAGGCGACGCGAAGCGGCGCGGCCACGGGCACCGTGTCCCGCATCGCCGGCCCGGCGGGTGTTCCCGAGGGATCCCGCTCTGTCACACAGCGAGTCCTGCAAGCCGGGCACGAGAGGAGCCGCAGGGCTGGCCGGGTGGGTGGGTTCCTGCTCTGCTCTGTCCACAGCGACTGGCGCCTCGAGTGACAGGCTTCTGGGTGTTTTGTAAAAATGAATGGTACGCTCCTAAAAATGTCAAAGTTGATGCCAGTTTCAAAAGTTTAGGAGCTGCTCTGTATTGTGATACCTCTTATACCAAGTAGTATCCCTAATGCTGAATTACTAAATAAAATATATTATCTATATGTATTTTTTTATTATCTATATGTATTTTTCTCTTCCTTTGTAGGAGATATTTTAAATCTACAGGTCTATTATCCATGGGAGTTCCTTTCCAACTCTCCTTGCAGAACAGTTGTTTTCCCATTAATGACATCAGGAGTTACATACTGGGTGATCAAGTCTTTGCAGCAGTTGGACATATGTTCAAGTTGCATCAACAGCTACACTCTCCTTGTATCTCCTCGCCTGCTCTTTACAATCTTTTCTTTCATACTCGACTATAGCGTTTATCGATTGGCCCCTTTCTGGGGAGCAGATCCGTGGAAAGCGCTGGTACTTCTTGCTGGATCCTATGTCACGCTGGTGTTTTATACAAGAACGTTTACAAACACGCTCGAAGGACTTCTCTTTGCTCTTCTCATGGTACTGGTTTCTTCAAGGAAGTCCAGTGGCTCAGCAGAGCCTACAAGCAGCTCTCTCATAGGTGTCTTAACAACTGCTGGGTTTTTCAACAGGCCAACCTTTCTGGCATTTGCTCTAATGCCCCTGCTTTATTGGGCTGGTTTAATTGTTGACTCTCAAAAGAGCATTAAAACTCTCATAAACAACTTCTTGAAGTTTATCCTATGTGCATGTTTTACCGCTTTTGTCTTCATAACTGCTGACACCTTCTATTTTACCTCCGTGAGCTTAGACAACCTCTACAGCACTAACAAGAGCAGCCTGCTTGATGTAATCGTTCAATTACATGACAAAATGATAGTAACCCCCTTCAATTTTCTCAGCTATAATCTTAATCCTCATAATCTTGCACTGCATGGAAGTCACCCACGAGTTACACATTTTACAGTCAATGGAGTAATGCTGTTTGGTATCTTACATATTCTGGCCGTCAGTGCTGGCTTTAAAATGCTAAAGAAATATGTCCATCAGTTAATGCTGGTCAGATGGTGTTGCCGTGGGCTGCCTGGGCTCTTGGTGCATTCTGAGGGCAGTCCAACGTTGCTGCTGTTTTATTTTGTTCCTTTGGCATTTCTCTCCCTGTTCAGCCACCAGGAGCCTCGGTTTCTCATCCCTCTCATCCTGCCGTTGGTCCTGTTCAGCGCGTCACCGAACAGAGCTGTGAAATGGAAGCCCCTCATTGTTCTGTTCAACCTTCTGGGGGCACTTCTCTTCGGGTGCTTACACCAGGGAGGGCTCATTCCCTGTTTGTTTCACTTGGAGCAGCTCATCCATTCTCCAGCGTCCTCAAGCCATCCACGGCACTACACTCTGCTCTTTGCACACACCTACATGCCTCCAAGGTCTCTGCTCAATATCAAGAAGACAGATGTGCATGTGGAAGTCATTGACATGGCTGGGGCTGGAGAAGAAACCCTCTGCCAGACAGTAGAGGAGCGAGCAAGCAATTTTACCTGCAGCGACTGTCACATCTTTATTATAATCCCTGGTACTGTCAGAACCACAATTACAAAATGTGGTGTCTCATTCAAGAACGAGACTTTGATATTTCCTCACTTATCAATGGAAGACCCACCACAAATACCTGTCCTATCCAGTGGAAATTGGAGGAGTCAGTTAGGACTTTACATCCTTGAGCTAAACAGATTATCAGAGCCTTTAGATTTTAGGAGAACAAAGTTCTAGTCTTTTACTTACTTTGGGAGCTGTCTGATGGTGGTGTGAGACCTTCCTCTTTCATACCCCGCCCTTTCAGCATCAGCAGTGGCACTGGGAGCTTTCCCACATCTCTTTATTCACATTCCTCACACTGTTAGGGTAGCCAGTTCTGGACAGAACCTGCTTAAGATTTGACTTACTCAGCCCTATGGTATTTTATATGAACTTTTGTACTTCTCCTGATGAGAGAGGATGAAACCAGAGCCCACCAAAACTGTGATTGAAACTTAGCTGTTTCCATGTGAGATTTATTTTTGAAAGCTCTAATAATCTGACAGGGTTTGGGGACTGTAGGGTGTTTACTGATAATAGGCATTAAGTCAGCTGCTGGAGAGAGGTTACAGGGTTAGACAAAAGCTGGTCTGACTCAGTAATCTTTTATGTTATGTTCTTAAAAATTCATTAGACCAGACTGCAGTCATTACTGCTTTGGGTGGGTCCGTCTTGAAAAATCCCCAGCACTGATCTGGCAGAATCTGATTTAGAACGTGGAGGATGCTTCAGCCTAAGTGCTTGTGCTAAATCCTAAAATCCAAGCTTTGCTTGTTTAGCCTTCCTTGCCACAGTTCCATCCTCGTGAACGTGCTACCCACGTACCGCCCGGGGCAGCTCGGGAGGGCAGCACCGTGATGGCATTAAGCGTGCGCGGTGTTCCGCGGCTGCAGCTCGGGCACTCCTTCCCTGGCGCGCTCCCGCCGCTCGTCTCGCAGCTGTCGCGGCTCTTGTCACGATTGTCACCCCGGCAGAGCGCGCGGGAGGTCCTGCGGGAGCTGGATCGAGGAGCTGCGCAGACAGAAAGCGGGTAACTGGGAGGGATTTGATCCTTCGTGCCACTGGGCCAGATGTATCTCTGGAGGGGCTCAGCACAGGTCAGAGATGCCCCGGTCCTGCTGCCGTGCAGGGAGGGCAGCCTCGCGGGAGGAGCCGCATCCCTTGCGCCCCCTCCCCGTGCACTAAGTGCTCCCCGTTAAATCAGCTCAGTGGGAAGGACAGCTCCTATCCTGGCTTTCCACTGGAGAGCAGTCTCCTTTTGAACTGGACACCAACAACTGGGCTTCAGCTGACAATGATGTATATGCTCAATAGCACAGCATGAATTACAATATTTGGTTTTGTCTACGTGAACTTCTGGATCCAAAACAACCTGACTTGGCACATGCATTGGAGATCAAGCCTCTCTCTCTGAAACAAATCTGACACTTGAATTATTTCTGCTCACAAAGGTGGTAATGCTTTTGGCAGTTCTTCACCCACACAACCTTATGTAAGGTCTTAAGAGCCAGGCTTTCTACAGAGACAAGAATAATACAGGTTGATGCCAGGCTCTAAGGAGAATCTAGGAAAAAAGAATGTATGAATGATTTGCCTGTATTTTCCAACCTATAGGTATGACCTAGATGTTAGGGAACATAGCTCTCGCTCTCTTGTAAAGCATTTTGTCTTTTGTTGCCTATATGTTCATCCCACATCCTTCACTCTTCACTGCTGGCCTGCCTGTAAATTAAAGGCTTGTGTTTGGGGGGAGGCAGGGGGAGAGAAGGTGCCTGTTTTTGTACTGGTGACTCACAAAGTAGTGTGAGTAGTTGGGAAAGCATTGTGACAGCAACTGTATTTTCCAAGTTAATTTTCTTTTTGCTGTCTTACACTGGGTGATACAACCATGTGCCACAGCTGGTACTCCATGTCCTGCTTCCCATTTTCAGCTTTCTTAAACAACTTAAATCTTGAACATTATTTTCATGAAACTTACGAATTCTGGCAGTCTGAGTGGGGTACATCTTGAAACTCTTGGGGGATGTAATGGAGCACCATTCCCATAGGATGATGACTTCTCTACCACTGCACAGGTAACCTGCAGAAAGCCAGCAACAGAACCTGGACCACAAATACCAGCTCGAGGATGATGACTTCTCTACCACTGCTGCAGAAAGCCAGCAACAGAACCTGGACCACAAATACCAGCTCAGACTAACAATATACTGCTTTTGTCCTGCCAGCCAGACCTTTGAATTTACACTGTAGATGCAGTTTCTCCATCCATGCTGGAGGTTTAATTTTACCAGCAATGCAGGAAACTGTATCTCAGACAAAGTACAAGGTTCTTCTCACCTGGGATGATAAAAGGAGAGGAAATGATCCTCCCCAGTTAACTGAGCCTCTACTCAGCTGGATCAAACAGTGAAACGTGTTCTGAAGTAAGGTTAACTGCTGTAGTGTCACAGATGTCATCAGATACAGTGTCTTAAGCAAACCTGCATTATATGTGATGGATGCATCATTTTCCATTATATAGCAGTATTTCCGTTTATATGTAGGGTGGCTCTCATTTCTTCCCTATAAACCCTTCTTGCTACAATAGACTTGAGGTGTGCTTTTAGGATAGCTACTGAATCTCTTTTACCTTCCTGTAAGATGTCCATTATCCTGTCAATCATCATCACTTAAAACCCTTTTTGTAACAAAACTGTATCAAATATAGAGTATCACTCCTGTATACACAGACATTGTTACAGGTACTCCTGTGAGAATTGTGATTTTATTTCAAGTTTCTTATCAGCGCTTAAAGTGACAATCTTCACAGCATTGTAGGTGATTATAAATTGAGTCTGCTTGTTCCTGAGAACCGTGGGACGTGTATTCTGTCTTTGAAATGGAAATCCATGAAACCGATGAGGAGCAGCTTCTCGTGTTCATGCTTTCCCGAGGAGTCGCTCCAGGCCACGCGACGAAGAACGCACCGTCCAGTCCGCAGCTCGCCATCCCCAGCCCGGGCACCGCCGGGGTCCGCAGCGGCTCCCGGGGCCCTTCACCCGCCGCTTCCAACGCGCTCCGTGCGCTCGGCGCAGGGCAGCGGCGGCGGTTCCCGTCTCCTCCCCGGCGCTGTCCGCAGCTGCCTCCCGCTCCTCCGGCGATCACGGCGCTGATCCGGGGCGGCCGCCGCGGCCCGGCCCGCGCGGCCACGGCCACCCTCGCGCGCGGGCGCCGTCCTTGAGCTCGGCGAGGAAGGCGTCGCGCAGGCGGAGCAGGCGCGGGGCCAGGTCGCGCTGGCCGCGGGTGAGGGCGCTGGCGGTGACCCGGGCGGCGGCGCGGATGGGCCGCGACTCCGAGAGCCGCTCCACGAGCCGCGGGCTGGACAGCAGCAGCAGCAGCGCCCGCAGCAGCGCCATGGCCGCCGCTCTCGCGAGACCGGCGGGGCCGGGTGGTGTCGGTTGGTGTCGGTCCGTCCTGCACTGGGCACGGCCGGGCTGGGCCGGGCCGGGCGGTGCCGCCATGAGCTCCGGCGGCACGCTGAGCATCCTGCGCAGCGACTCCTACGCCGAACTCAGCCAGTACCGGGACCAGCATTTCCGGGTGAGCCGCGGCAGGGGGCGGGCGCCACGGGTCCGGCCGGGCCGGGCCGGGCCGCGAGGTAACGTTGTGTCCTTGCGGCCCAGGGGACGCGGTACGACCAGGAGCGGCTGCTGAGGAAGAGCTGCACACTGTACGTGGGGAACCTCTCCTTCTACACCACGGAGGAGCAGATCCACGAGCTCTTCGGCAAAAGCGGCGACATTAAGAAGGTCATCATGGGGCTGGACAAAGTGAAGAAAACCGCCTGTGGCTTCTGCTTCGTAGAGTATCCTTGTGCTGCACGGCAGGAGCCGTCAGGGTGTGGGTGAACTGCTCTGCACTGCAGGCTCTGAGTTACGGGGGAGTTCTCCGAGGATAAATTTAATCATTTGCTGAAGCGTCTGTGGGAGACCCTGGCGAGAGAGAGCAATACTGGGCTCACAGTTGGATGCAAGGAAAACACTCTTACAGGTGTTTTCCAACCATGTATCTGTATTCGAGCATATACTGCATGTCGAGTGGGGTTAGATTGCTTTCACTTTGATACTTTAACCCAGACATCTGTTGGGTAGTTGACCTCTGCAGTAAATTCATATTCTCCGTGCCGAGGTTAAAAGATCTTTCTTTTCATACACACGTGTAAAGTTTCCATTGGCGTCTTTCATCCCTGTCCTGTGACTTCATTACGTGCACGTTTTTGAGGATCGTTCTGTTGCTGCATCCAGTGAATTCACCAGACTGGTGAAAGTTTGCAGCATGAACAGAGCCTGGGGCTTCCCACTCTTTAGTAATAGGGCTTTGTTCTGTTAAATGTCAGCATGATGGACAAACTTTCTAATGCTTGAACTGCTGCATGTTTCACCCTTTCACTAGCAGTTTTCTTAGGTGGTGTAGCTTCGTAAAAGTGGTTCAAGCAAAGACTTGGTTTTGTAGTCCATTTGATACTGTTTGTTTTCCCATGTGGTGAAAATAGAAGTCTGTTTTTTCATTAACATATTCCTAAGGTATTATGCCAGAGGAGATGCTGAAAATGCAATGCGATACATCAACGGGACCAGGCTTGATGACAGGATCATAAGGACAGACTGGGATGCAGGGTTTAAGGAGGGTAGGCAGTATGGCCGTGGACGATCAGGGGGGCAGGTAGGTTGTTGTACAGCCTGGGCTTTTAAGGGAATGGTGCCTTTGCCAAACTTCTTGATTTTGAATGAACACAGAAAAATTTCAGAAATAGCAGCTTAGGAGTTGTTGTTTAAGATAACACTGGAAGTCATCTGATCAATGGCAGTATAATTCACTAGGAATAAATAACTCCTTCCTACATTTCACGAGAAGTACTTGCAGAAACATCTCTTGGCTGCCTGGGGAGAAAATGCTTTTAAGTAAGCCCAGAAAAAGTAAGGGGCTGTCAGGAACACACAGGACAGTAGTTGGCTTACCTCAAGTGGAGCAGGTGGCAGTGGCTTGTACTGCCAAAGCCCAAGGCTGGCCATCCTTGCTTGGGCTGTGTTGATTAGAGAGTCCCCAGCCATGGTGAAAGAAGAAGTTGGTTTATGCTGTTCTGGGCTTCTGCATGATGCACTTCACTTTCTGTTTGGCCAGACAGCTCCATGTAGCCACTTATATGTTGTGATGTCAGTATGACTGTATTCTTGTGCTGTAACAGTTTTTGAGAAATTGTTTTTCCTTGTCTTTTCTGGACTTCCCTTTCTCCCTCCATCGTTAGGTCCGAGATGAGTATCGGCAAGACTATGATGCTGGAAGAGGTGGCTATGGCAAAACTGTTCAGTGCCAGTGACTCCTCAGCCTCTCAAGAGAACAAAATCTGCATAGTCAATGTCCCCAGGCACAAAGTAGGTTTGTTACACACACTTCACAGAAACTCCTATCCACATTCCTGTGAGCACATCCGATGTTCAATACCTCTTTGTTTTAATACCAGGATCCAAAGCATTGCAGAGGACCTGGGAGCAAGGCTTTAAGCATTAGTATGCTGAGGCTTTGGTCTCAAAATGCTGCTATAACTTACTGAAAGGAGCAAAGATGCAATATTGTGGTGCTTTTTTTTTTTTTTTTTCCTCTGGCAAAACTTGATTATTCTACTGGGTTTTGTTTACATTGGGATCACAGGGTAGACAGCAGTGATAAAGGATGATTGGTGGATGTTTCACAGAGGAAAGCAAGAGGCAAAGGGCCTGAAAAGGAAGTGGAATTTATAGGGAAATTTTTCAGTTTCTAGAGAAGACTTCTAAGTTGCAGATTTTCTGGTGTTAAGGATTAGCATCCTTTTCCACTGATGCTGTTCCTGGAACCTTTACATGAGCAGCCATAATAAGACAAATCAGATTGAGTTCAGGAACCGTGAAGTGAGAAGCAGCCAAGCAGAGATCAGGAAGCAGACTGCTGTCTTCTACAAATTACAGTTGTGATTGCATGACAGAGAAGAGCAAATACAGGAATTACAGTGCTATTATTTCACAGTTTGAGTATTAGTATTTTGCCCCATCTGGTAGATCTGTACAGCCTTCATATTTGAGGGCAGTATCTTCCCTGTGCCGGTAAGGATTGCATGAAGCCGATTACCCCCAGAATGGGATGATTGAGGAACTGGGTTTATAATGAGAAAGTTTCTTCCCAAAACAGGTTTTCTGTTTGAGAAACTTGATTTCAGACAACATAAAAATAGAAATAAAAGAGTTTTGGGAGGAGTTTTGCTTTCTACTGAGCATGTGATAAGAATGGTAAAAGGATTTCAGGATCATGTAGTTTGTTATGTTTTGGTTTTTCTCTTTCCCCGCTGGATTCTATTTGTACTGCTTGTTGATATGTTGGAATTCTGATGTCCTGCAGACATTGGTTTAAAAAATGTGATCCTAAGATCAAGGAAAATGAAATTGTTGAAAAAGAACTGTTATAGGGCTTTGAAATTTCTTCATGGACTTCTGAGTTCCATGTAAATGGCAATTACTAAAGTTTTGAGCAAATACTTTGTTGCCCATGACTCCTTATAAACTTTCAAAGGTGTACAAAAGTAGAACTTTACTCACTGAAGGTATTGTAGGAAATTTTGATGTGTTTCTTGCATACAGTTAATCACAACTGTTACTGTAAATTGGAAGACAAGTGAGATTGAACAGCTCCTTATTTAGGAAATGTGAGTTTGAGGTTTTTTGGCATGTCAAGTAAAACTAGACTTTTGGGATCATTTGGTGCTGCAAATAAGCTTTGAACAAAATTAACTTTTCCAATATAGTATATTTGACTATGAGTTTACAGCCTGTAATCTGCTCTAGAGCGCTGCTGAAGTTTATTTTTCGTTGTATCAATTTTGTATAAAAAATATGTTACCAAAAACTTTAAAGTCACTTTCTTTTAAATAAAGCTGCGACATTAAAATGGTTTGTTATGGTTTTTTTTTTTAACAGAATCAGTGAACTAAAGGAGCTGTATCCTGGTGGCATCCTCTGTTTTATTCTCTTTTAAGATAGAAAGAATGAATATTCTTTCCCTTTGACTGGATTTTCAGGCTTGTTCTGTTCTCACCTGGATTCTGAAAAGTGTTTGGTTAATGCTCTTCATTCTGGTTTGAATTTCTTTGGATTACAGGACAGAAATTGTTTCTTGATAGTGAAGTAAATGTGAAAGTCTTTGTTGTGTAAGAAGTGATTTTCAAGGTGATCCTCCTTATAAAAATGAGGTCTAAAATTGTTTTTTATTGTGAGTACTGCCAGTACTTTTCAAAGGTATTCTCAAATGAGATGGAGCTGGTAATAATTGTCTGTCACAGCAATCACTGTTCTTTGCTGCTTATGTGCCATGGGTCTGGAAAGAGTATGTTTTAAAGTAAGATTTTCTGTTTTGAGAGATACCAATCAATGGGATTTAAAACCACATAATATGTCGTATGAACTCTTGGAATCTCAAAAGCTCATGTAGAGGAAATTGAACATGGTTTGATTGTTACCTTCCCTAATTGAAATTGCATCTGGGTCTTCTGAACCTAGTGCTTAATGAAAGGAACTGAATCAAGTCTTTGAAAGTTCCCTGGGGACTTCTTCACCTTTCTGGCACGCTGGTGCACTGTGATTAGATTGTCTTGGAAGGACAGAATCTCCCATGCTTCTTGGACAAGCTACTTCATTACAATTACAAACCCTTTCATGGAAGTTCAAGCTCTGTGTTAGTATTTCTAAGTACTTGTTCATCATAATTAGCTACTTTTATGGAATTGTATCCATTAAAAAACCCAGCAGTTAAGAATATGAGTGGAAACATATGCCCTGATGAAAGGGAGGATGTCAGACGTTAAAGCAGTGACAACTTCAGTCTCTCTCTCAGACTGGTGCAGGCTCAGGGGATGATTTACGTATCTCTATTAGGCAGCAATGGCTGCAAATAATAGCATTTGAGTCTGGGTATTACAGGGTTAATCAGTGGAGTGTAAAAGCATTAGAGACATTTGTTTTCAATGACTGACACAATAGTCCTGTTAGCAGTGTCTAGGGCAGGCTCATTCCAAGGTTGGCTGTTTGTTAGGTTACTTCACTGCCCCGTTCAGCAGACAATTCCTGCTCAGGTTGGTGCAGGCACAACTACTGTTGATATTAACAGACCTTTCTACACAGACAATTAAAAAAAAACCAAACCGAAACTATTTAAGCTAATATTCAGCACCTCATATTCCACATCAGATTAGGCTTCTTGTGAAGGAAAAAAATTGATGAAAACTACTAAAATGGACATGGTTTGTACATGGTTTCATCTCTAGAGGAAAGACAATCCTGTCAAAGGAATGCAGTCTACAGGGACTGTCCTGCTCATAAACTCTTGTCTATTTGAGTTTCTAAAGCACAGGTTGTACTTTATGCCAGGGCATATAAATGGAGACAAATTAGGGTGTGCATTTTTCTTTGCACTCTCAGGTTTCTCCTAGCTGAGTGTATTTGGTACTTTCAGGTAAGTCTGGGGCCTTACCACTGTAGGTGGTGTATCAAAAAATTGGTGGAGATGGTGAAGTGTCCTGGGCTTCAAACCACTGTGGGTTTGAATCCATAAAATGATAGTATTTGTGTTTAAGACTGTGTAACTGCACAAAGATAAAAAGTATATTGCACCCCTGCCCAGAGAGGACAGAGTTACATGAGAGGAAGTTTTGCTGATCTTGAGAAACTCCTTTTTGAAAGCAGGGTTTGTGTCAGGGTTCCTCAATTTATGAGGATGACCTTCCTGCCACTCTGCTTCTGAACCTGTTTTCTGAGACAAAGATGTGCTTTACTTCACTGAGGTAGCATCATTCTCCAAGGTTATTTTAGTTTCCACCTGAAGGCTGTTTGAGTGTTTATTTGGGTTCTTCACAGAGGAAAAAAATAAAAATTGGAAGTCAAACTGTTCTTTGCAGCTCGGAGTAGCAGGTGAGACGTGGTGAATGTTTCCTGCAGCAGGAGGATGAAGTTCAGTGTGGAGCCCCCGTGGGCAGCACAGGTGAGGTGTCCATGGCCCCTGGTGGTGACACTGCCACCGGCGGGGGTGGCTGCTGGCAGTGGCGCGGAGCGGGGGCTGTGGGTATGCTGTGGAGATTTTGCCACGATTTGGTTGGAGAAGTGACCAAAAACCTGATTTTCATCCAAGAGAAGTCTGTAGACCATTTCTCAGAGCAGAGGCAAATGGAGGTCAGGAATTGCGGGTATATATTAAATAATTTTGTTGGATTTAATTTATTTGATTAGAGCTATCTCTGATTTCCTTTTCAAGGTGGGCCCAATTCTTCTAGGACTGACATGTTTGCAGTGGAATAGTATTGAAGCACAATTTTTGTTTTTTCAGGTATAGTTCAAAGATATTTTCTCAAAACATAATTTGAAAACAAATGGGAAGTAAGATTCACTATTTTGCTGTTTATCCAGTTGCATGCAACATAAATATCAGAATAAATTAGGCTAATTGAGTCAGTTTGTCCTTGTATTTCTGGACAATGAAGCTTGTCCCTTCTCAACCATTCTCTTCCTGGAAGTGCGAAGAAAATTCTAATTTTCTAGCTAGAAAGAGGTAAGAAATAGGTAAGAATATATTGTGTTAATAATTCATACTTGTATTATTATAGTTGTACATCTGTAGCTCACATGCACTTCAAATTGCATTTGATTTTTTCAGTTTTCTGACTTTATTACTTTAAAATAATGCTTCTATTATTTTATGCTTTGGGTCTTTATTTTTATGGGCAGTATTCCTGTTTTGAAAATTGTTGCTGTTCTTCAGATTAATTGATTATAAGCTGGTGCTTTTTGTTTTGTGTTTGATTTTCTGCAATATCATTGTTTGACATCTGAAGTTACTTTTTTGAAGACCCAAGCCCTGTCAGCTGGTCCTGCTGCCACAAGGTGTCGTGAGAAGCCGTGTCTGTCTCCAGGATGGGTGGGGGCTGCCGGGATTCTCAGCTGAGGAGCTGTTGTGGAAGGAATGACGTGTTCTGAAAACGTCTCATTTCACTGTGCAACTAAGGCAACATCTGCATTTTTTGAAGAAAGTCTTGCATCTTAGAATTCTGCTTGAAACAAAAGTGTCTGGTGTCTGATTAAATGGTCTTCGGCATGCCCTGAAGCTTTAGAGTTAGGAGTGCTTTAAGGTTGCTTATGTGTAGGATGCCTCACAACACCAAGCACCATAGAACTGAGAGATTGTGTAGGCTGGCAAAGGACTAGTTTGTGGTTTGGGTTTGTAGGGTTTTTCCCCCTCTCTGAATTTACTTCTGTAAAAGGAAGAGTACGTTTCCATGAACTGGAAAGAGCTTCTTCCCATTAAATCTGCATTTTTGCTTCTACTTTAAATTTCCAGCTGAATTTGCTCTTTGGGACCTACATATTAATGTGAAAAAGCCTTCAAACAGCAATCTTACCAAGTCCATCCTGCACAGATGCCAGGAGCAGGTGTATGCTGGTGTCTGAGCTTGCCAGTGGGAGATTCAGCAGAGATTTTTTAAAGTTACTCAGATCTCTCACACTCACTCTGCAAGTCATGGTGGGTGTTTTGTTGAATTGTTTTATAGGGTGCAGTCTTGTCAGGAACTTCGTTTTGTCTCCCATGGAGTTCAGTGAGATCTGTGTGCATAGTGCTAAAGTACTGAATGTGTTTTAATGAACTTTATCTACTTATTTCTCCATAAACTAAGCATGTAACATGCTGGCATGCCAGGAGAATTCTTGTAATGCCTTTGGGAGCAGCACTGACTCCTGAGTTACATCTCAAAGTGAGTTAGGGAAGCTGAGCAAAACAGTGTCACAAAAAGTAGTGAGAGCATTTTGAAAGGGATTCCAAAAGCTCCTCAGGATAATTGTCCATAATCATGTGTAGGACAGAACTTTTCTCAGAATCCAAGGCCATGATGGCCAACAAATATTACTTGGTTTACAGTTTGACAGGAAAGACATTGTTTCAGAAGAGTGCAGAAACCTGGAAGGCTATGAAAAATGAGGGAAGATTCCAGCTAATTTGTCAGTAATTCAGGTTCTAGACACATAATGGTCATTAAAGCAAAATTAAATATTAAAAGAGGCCCAGAAACCTGGATAAATATGTGGTGTCCATCAACAGTGTTGATTCTGTGTTTAATCATAAATTTTCCCCTAAAGATGTTTAATTGAACTTTACCAGGTGTGACAGTGAGTCATTCCCTGTTAGAAAACAAATCACTTTGATGTCTGTGGAGGAGTGGTGCTGTTCCTCTGCTCTGTGACTTGTCCTCCTGCCTGGGCCACGTGCTGGGCAGGCTGGAGCTCTCCTTGAGCAGTGGCACAACTCCCCCCTTGGTGGCTGTGGAACTGAGAATGAGAGAATGAGCCAGGGCTCCAACTTCAGACAAATCTGAGGGTAATTAACAATTCCCAGATGAAGAATTGTCCTGAGAGAGGAAAAAACATTTGCAAAGCTGGGTGCTGCAAGTACCAAAGCTTTCAGGTGCTCAGGGCTACGATGGAGTTGGCTGGGCAGGACTGCAGAGCTGGTTTGCACTGGAGGTTTACAGATATGTCCACATGAAGTTTAGTCTGGATTGAACTTAATGTGAGAGTACTGGAGTCTGTATTTCAGATTTTTAATATATCACATTTTAATAGATTTTAAGTGAATATGTTAGTGCACAGAAATTGCCTCTCAAGAATTGCTTTTTCAGTATTAGCTAGGAGTTTATACTGGACTATGCAATTAACAAGGAAGTAGTCCTCTCTTAACTGCATATCATTGCAATCCTAGGAAATGAGCTTTGTGATTTCCAAATACACAATACCTAGCAAAGTCAAGTGTGAGTGTAGTGTAATAGGGCTTTTTAAAAAGCAAGTTTGTTTGGTTTTTTTTTTGGTTTTTTTTTTTTTTTAATTCTAAGGTGTAATTGATTTTCTGGTTTA